AGGTAGGAGGGGAGGAAGGAGGGGAGGAGGGGGGTGGGCTGGTTGGAGACAGAGCATTGTTAGAGAGCAGGAGACAATTTTAGAGAAGAAAATTTTTCCGTCGCTACCCAGATTTGAACGTGGGACCTTTGAATGAGAGGCGAACACCTTAGCCTCTAGGCCACGAGAGCCTGGACATGGATGGCTGGTTCCTCTATAAATAAATCATTGATGGTCAAGGGCCACGAGAGCCTGGACATGGATGGCTGGTTCCTCTATAAATAAATCATTGATGGTCAAGGGCCACGAGAGCCTGGACATGGATGGCTGGTTCCTCTATAAATAAATCATTGATGGTCAAGGGCCACGAGAGCCCCCCCAAGCCGCATTTGTTGGGACTTTGCATCTGTCCGCGTCGATCAAGTTTGTGACTGCTCCACTCCTTGTGTCTTTTTGTATGAAGACGGAGGTGTCAAAAGAAACATTTCATTCCTTCTCTTGTCCGTTTGTTCAGTAAGGGTTTTACGGCGCTCGCAACTGCACAAGGTCATATGAGCGCGCGAAACATGTTGGTTTTATTCTCAATAGTTCACCGCACAGCCTGATTTTGGTCAATATTTCTAATTAAAATGCTAAAAATGGAGTGTAAATAAATATTTTATTTAAAACAACTTTCTTCAGAACATTTTTAAATTTCAAACAATTCCATTTACAACTTCCCATAAATGCCAAAGCCCATCATAAAATCCAGAATTCTGATGGGATCAACGACGGAAATCCTGTTGCTAAAAAAATACTAAAAATCCCCTCCAATGCACTCACCTCTTCCCTCGACAACGTCCAGCCACTGGCAGCGCCCATGTTGTCGTCCAGTTGTTGCAGGGTTCGAGCCCCGATAATCACCGAGGTGACCACGTCTTTCTGAAGCAGCCAGCGGAGAGCGACCTGGGGCATGCTGCGACCTGAGGGGGGAAGAACAGGGGGGGGGGGGGGGGTGTTAGTTTCAGTAAGAGTTTTACGGCACTCGCAAAACAATAAGGTCATATAAGTGCCGAAGATTGGGCCTAGAGGTGTTACAAGAGAGTAACAAACACAAAAAAGGAGTGGAGATAAGGCTAATGGATGTGTGATAGGAAAGAAGAAACAAACCACACCAGAGCACCCACCAACCACCCACTGTGGGGGTTGTGTCATGTGACGACCGAACTGACGTGTGTCGGTGTGTGTGTGTCTGTCAGTGTGTGTGTGTCTGTCAGTGTGTGTGTGTCTGTGTGTGTGTGTCTGTCAGTCTGTCAGTGTGTCTGTCAGTGTGAGATCCCAGCTTACCGTGCCTGTGTGTCTGTCAGTGTGTCTGTATGCCTGTGTGTCTGTCAGTGTGTCTGTCTGTCAGTGTGAGATCCCAGCTTACCATGCCCGTGTGTCTAACAGTGTGTCTGTATGCCTGTGTGTCTGTCAGTGTGTCTGTATGCCTGAGTGTCTGTCAGTGTGTCTGTATGCCTGTGTGTCTGTCAGTGTGAGATCCCAGTTTACCATGCCTGTGCGTCTGTCAGTCTGTCAGTCAGTGTGAGAGCCTGTGTGTCTGTTAGTGTGTTTGTCAGTTTGAGATCCCAGCTTACCATGCCTGTGTGTCACTGTGTGCGTCTGTCAGTCTGTCAGTCAGTCTGTCTGTGAGCCCAGCTTACCATGCCTGTGTGTCACTGTGTGCGTCTGTCAGTCTGTCAGTCAGTCTGTCTGTGAGCCCAGCTTACCATGCCTGTGTGTCACTGTGTGCGTCTGTCAGTCTGTCAGTCAGTCTGTC